GTGTTTGCGGGTATGGGTAAGGCGGGGTGTGGGACCCGCCAGCATAGGTGGGGGGGGTAGGTGGGTGTTACGGGTGGGGTGGGGGTGTATTGGGGGGGTAGGCATATGGGTTGGGGGTGGGGTGGTGGTGTAGTAGGCTTGGGCATGATAAGGGAGGGGTGTAGGCATGGGACGTGGACCCAATAGGCCCGGGTTTTGGTTTGGGTAAGGTGAGTTCTAGGTGTTTGATCCGTCGGGATAGGTCCGTTGCCTCGAGCTGCTTTGTCATCCACGACCTCTACCCCGAGCGTCGTTGCCTCGCCCGCTGCCGCGTCCATAGCCGTTGCGTTGTCCAGAGGAGCCGCCCTCACCGTAGCTGCCGCCGTGCTGGAGCCCGCCGCCATGGAAGCCGCTGCTGCCGTGCTGGGGTCCCCCGCTGCCGCCGCTGGACAATTGTCGGCTGCCGCTGTTGACGCCGGGCCTGCCGCCAAGGAGGGCCGTTCTGCTCAAGTCGGCCATGGGAGAGCGTTGACGGTCCAAAAGCATGAGAGCGGAGCGGGCTTGGAGAAAAGTGGGCAGCAGATCTTGAAATTGAAAAAAGGACGTCTGGCCTTGCAAATCTGCGGGGAGACCACGAAGCATCTGAAGAACCAATTGATGTTGGGACACCGGGGCATCAAAATCGTCCAGCCAATCTGCGAGATTTTGTAGATGTTGACAGTAGGCCGCCATGGTGGTGTTGCCTTTGACAGTGGTACGGAACTCGTGCTCCAGTTGCATGGCACGAGCATTCTTGTTGTCGTGAAACAGATCATGAATAACTTTCCAAAGGGCAGAAGCGGTGGAGACAGAGGAGATTACCAGATATGAGACTTCGTCAGAGATGGTGGATAAGATCCACCCCTGGAAGAGAGCGTCAAGTTGGAGCCACTCATCGTCGTCTTCAGAGAGAGGGACGGCGAAGCCATTGATGTAGCCTTGGAGATTGAATCGGCGAACCAAGAGGAGGAAAAGACGACTCCACTTTTTGTAGTTCGGTTGAGAGAGGCTGAGAAGAACCGGAACATGTAGTTTGACATTAGAGATCGTCGTGAAGGTAAGATGAGGGGTTTTTGCCGGAGTGGAGTTGGAGGTAACCTCGCTTTCGCCCATTGGAGAGAAGAGAGCCGAAGGGAAGGGGGGGAGTGCCGCCGCTGGGGAGCTGCCGACGTCGAAGGAGGGACGGCTTGGCGGCGCTGTGACTACCGTGAGGGAGAGAGAGGGAGAGCCGATGTAACACCCTAATCCGTCCAGGTCTGCAGCCCCTTTCGGACTAAAGTATTAACTTGGTAATCGTAAAATTTAAAACTTTTCAAACACTTTTAATTATCATGATAATATTTTTCATATCACAAACAGTACAGAGTTTTCAATATTGCGGAAGCTTAACAAATCATAATCACAAACATAATTTATTTATATTCTTTAATTCAAAACCATCACATCCATTCCGACAATCTCGCCTCCGTCTGCCTCCAGGATCACGTCACATCATTCTATTGACCTGCGTGTAGTAAATAAAACACACTACACGCTCAGCGGTAAAGCTGAGTAAGTATATCTAATGCGTCGAACATCCACATAAATTGAATCTCAATTCATAATCAACCATTTGATATCATGCACATAATGTTCAGTTCAGATATTCAATAATCAGTATTCAATTTTCAACATTCATTATTCAATCATCCAACATGTATATTCATCATTTGTCATTCAACAGTATCCTTAAACTATTCTTAGTCTAAGGCCAATCACTTTAATATTTGTCAACCCTTAAATGAATTCTAGTTTAACTAATTAAACTATATTCCAGTATACAGAGTACTCCTAATAATCCTTAAGCTAGGCCTAGTTTAAGATAAAAGGGTTTTGGAAATCTTAAACTTACCTTCACTTAAGGCCAACCAAAAACCGACAGCGTAGTGTTCACTGT